TGGTCATATGATGTTTGTTTCAAAAATTTAAACTTAAATCCTACAATGTTAAACATTAAGATCTAATTCAAGTGTCATTTGAATCAAAGTTTTTTAGAGAAAATTACGAGTAAGATGTGATTTAAGTTATTTTCTTGAGCTAGATAAATTTTGAAATGGATAATTGCATGATATATTGTGTTTTGAGAAGTTTGCATGAGATATATAAAAAATGTGTAGTACAAGATAATATAGTGATGTACTTCAAATCATAACATAGATTATTTATATTTTAAAGTAATTATAGCATGAAAATGCAATTGGAGTTTAGTGGTGAGTTGTTTGACCTTTAACAAATTATTTGCTGATTTAACTGTATTTAAATGGCATGTTATCATGATTGTTAATCTTTGTTTGAAAATTGATGAATGTTTGATTGTTTTATGAATAATGTAGAAATATGATTTTTGAAAATATATGATTTGAACTGAGTCCGAAGGTATTTGATCTTCATGATTAGTGATTTTATGATGATAAATGAAAAAGGATGAAAGTTGTGCTATCACGAAAGGTGATGGAAATACGTATGAAAAGTTACAAAGATAGAGGTATAAAGTTGAGAGACGATTTGAGAAATCTGAAGATTTGAGAAATCTGAAAAAAATGAAGATGGTGAATGTTATTCATAATGGATACACATAAATTAATGAAAGTAAAAGCATCACAGATCTCACATTCATTTCCTGACTATATATTTTGAAAAGGAGTTAAATGAGCATATGCTCTATCCATGTTGATGCATGTAACCAATGACTATTTATATTTTTGGAAGACCTCAAGAGATCATAAGGGCAATAATTGTATGATTATAATATATGTGTGATAACATAATGATTGTGTGATTATAATATATGTGATGTAACATATTGATTGTTATGATCATAATATATGTATTGTAATACATTGATATGTGTAATTATAATACATGTATTGTGACTTATTTATTGGTATGATTATATTGCATGTATTATAACATACTGATTGGTGTAAACATATATCAAACCATAGATCTTAGTGTATGTTTTTTTTAAAATATTGCTGATATGATTGCCATTGTGTTTGGTCTGTTGTGAATTGTTAAATTATTGTTTGAGTTTAATTGTAATGATGAGGAGAAGACTCTCATCTTTACTTATATTCTCAAGAAATCAGTTAAGCTGAATGATTCAGACTATGATCATATTTTTAGACTTTGATGTGAAAGTGATATGCTCTGAGACTTTATATTTTTGTTTTGTAATTGTATAAATTAAGTCCTAATGTATTTTTGAGATTATAATTGATAAATATCAAACTTTTATATCCGAATGAAAGTCAATATATGTATATTTCCTTATAGTTTAAGGGTAAATTTAGTTAATAAGTTATAATATAATAGTAAATATTTATCTTATATAATTCTAAATAACTTTGCATTTTTATAAGTTGAATAATAAAAACAAATATTTTAATTTTTTATTAAATTTTCACACTATGAATAAAAAGAAATTTACTTTATTTTCTTTTCTTCGTTATAAATTACTACATAAACTAAATAATAAGATAATGGCATTACATTGGTAAGATATAGAACTAGTTTGTGTAAATTTAAACATATATGTCTTGATAATAGATATTTTTCAAAATTCAATATATTTGCCATAAATAAATTATATGTATTTTTATAGAATATTATTATGTTATTTTTTAACGGGTACTTAGTAAGATATATAAGATTCACATTGCTAGGTGAACAACATATATATAAAAGAGGTATATAAGTTATAGGACTTTACTCTAATACATTTTTCCAAAATAAAAATCATTCAGTACAAAAGAATGAAAATTGCTTGAGCGTTAGATGACATCAGCAAGCATATATTGGCATTAGAATTTAGCTCACAGAATAGAGTGATCGTCGGAGTCGCCCTCAATTGAATGTTTGATTCTTGTACGTCCAAGGTTTTGGCGAAGGAAGGTAAGTCAGCAATTGTAGCTTCAAATTAACAAATAGAGGCTTATACCAATGACAATTGGAACATGCTGTTTCGTGGCTGTTGTTATGTTTGTGACCACCTTTCAAGCTTATAGCAGGAATCTTACAAGCTTTGTTCATTTTATTTATTTGGTTTATAATATAGACACTATTAATTAAAATTAGAGTTTGTTTATTAACAGAAGTGACAAGTAGTTCTGTTTCATTTAAGCATGGCTTAAATAAAATTTTAGATTTAAATTTTTGTATATGTAAAATATCTTTAGTAATAAACTTACTTATCACATTTAAGTACACGACTGGACAGATCCAGATTAAATTAAATAAAAAAAATTTGTTTTAATTAATGGCCTTGCTATATCATCTAATTACTTAAAGTTATCATTTATTATATTTATAATTTTAAATAACAAAGATAAATTTAAACTTTTTCAAAAGTATACAGACTACCCAATTTAACCTGTGATTAACTTACTTATAATTATGCTAAATTAAAGTAAATACTGTTAAAGGTATCTTGAGTCTATTTTCTGTATACTCTGGATGGTTCATACGTACGATATTATGTCATTTTGTTTATTAGTCCCCACATTTCACATTTCTGCATGTCATTATTTTCAACTTTCTATTAAATATGATCTTTAACGTGGATGGAAGGTGGCCAGGCAGGGAAAGGTTAAGATGTTTTGTTGGTTATATAATTCACCGCGTGATGAGATATTGACAAATGATTTCTTAATAATGTTAAGATAATTTATTTTTTTTAAATAAAGCATTAAATAATATGTTTTCATCAAATATTTTAAACCCTTTCATTTCTTAGCTTGTCAAGGGTTTAGTGGTTATAAGAAAATACGATAAATTATTTTATTTTTAATGTTTATTAAGTAATAAAATATGATAACTTATTTTACTGTGCTATTTTATTTTATACTGATTATTCGAATTCTTATCGAGTTAAAGGTAATGATGAGCTAAGAATAATCAAGATACAATATTTTTTTTTCATTTTTCATTATTTAGAAATATAAATTTATTACTCTTTACAAAAAAACAAACTATAAACATTGTCTTATAATTTTTTTGGAAAATATGATTTTTATACAAATTGTTTTACTCATTTTAATAATATAATTTTTGTTTTTATAATTTATTTCTATTTTAATTATAATTTATCACAAAAATTATTTTTAATTATAAAAAATAAGAAATATTTTATTTTAACATCAAAATTTTAATATTATTTATACACAAAAATATTTTTTATTTTCAAGAAGATTTTAATATATATTTTTATTGGAAAGTTAATGATATTTTTTAAAATTATATTAATTTAAAAATTTAACTTTATCATTTAAATTTAATTCTTTTTATGTATTATATTTTTGTAGAATAAAAAAACAATATAAAATTTCTTATTTATTATCCATATATATGTATATGATATAGCAAGAAGTTACCATTCTCTTATTTTATTATATCTTTATTTAATTCTCCTTAAAATACTTATTCATTGAATCTTGAAATATTTATGATCAATAGTAAAATATAATTGTTATATATTAAATTGAAGACATCATTCTTAATTCTTATAAAATCACACTATCTACTTTCTATTGTCATGAAGCTAGTAAACTTTTATATATATATATATATATATATATATATATATATATACACACCAACATTTAAAATTTTCCATCTCACACTGAATACGACAAAGTATTTGAAATTCATCGTTAAAATAAAAGCTTATTAATTAAAATAACTTTGTTTCATATAAACTTAAATTTTATATCTAACTTAAAACTTCAACAACATTAATTACATATCATAATCATTTATATAGTTCTGACAAGGAATTTTTTATATATATAGAATTTAATATATATATATATATATATATATATATATATATATATATATATAGTGCTTTTAAAATTACAAAACTATAAAATTTAAAAATTACCATTGGCAAATATTTGGTGTATGTAATAAAGCAGTGAGAAATTATTAAGTTTTAATAATCGTTATTGACAATTTTTTAAAAAAATATTTAAAAATTATAAAAAATAAAAAATCACCGGTTGTGATTTTTGAAAAAAGCTTGGTAAAAAATCGCCACAAAATTTATAAAAATAATATATTTTTGTAATTTTTTTAAAACATCATATTTTGTCTTTTTTCATATATAAAAAAAGACCCTTCTGGCAAGGGTACGGTATAAATTCTCCGTGTGAATCCAAAGCATACCTCAATTGTTTCTATACTTTGGAAAGAGATAATTAACCAAAATCATATATCTCAAAATACGTTTTGCTCTCCAATTTGAAGAGAAAAAAGTGGCAAGTGGAAGAAATTTTGTTATAATGATAAAAAAATATTCCCCATTTTTATTATATTATATTACAAGGATAAAGGTATTATATTATGCTTTAGTATTCTTTTTATTTAATCAAATGAATGAAGAGATAACTCAATATTTATTTTTATTTATCTCTTATATTCTTTATTTTCGCTACCAAACAAAGATGAAAAGAGAGGGAATAAAAATAGTGTATCGTGTAAATGTACGTAGCTAGGAGGTCCCACTGTGACGAAAAGGTGATCGTCTCTCTCTAGCACCAGATCGTATTCCTACCTATGTGTCTCCATCACCCATTGCTGCCATTGTCTTCTATTTCTAGAACGCTGTTTATTGCTAGGCCACCAATTTAACATAACCCAAACCCACCACATATTTATTCAAAATAATACTATAATCACTCTTTTAAATATATATTTTATATTTTATTTTTTTAAAATAAAAACAAATCAATTGTAACATACATTTCAAAAACAATTAAAAGAGTGTATTCTTCATTTTTTGATCACGGACCAACCTAACATCTAAACAAAATATACAAATATAGACTTAAAAAAATGTGAAACTAATAAAATATACACTTTAAACAAACTTATACCATATACCACACAAAAAAATAATCATATGATCTCATAATTTATCATTATTTTTCATGGAAATTCCTTTTTAAGATATTACATGACATCAAATCGGAGCAAGTTATATAATCCTAAAACGAAACCCAATCTTAAATTGAAAAAAAAATAAAAAAATTTAATACCAAAGGCAGCCTGATTCTTTTCAGGAGAAGCCAATCTTGAGCACCCAAATTTATAGTGCAGTAATTGATAGTTGGGTGTAGTGAATAATGTGAATACTCTTTGTCCTGTTCATTGTTGACAACCAACTACAGGTGCTACGTGTATCTTCCAAAACAATGCACACATTTACTCAACGATTAGGGCAACATTTTGCTTTGTGACATCATTTGTGACATGGTCTTCACTAAAATGGATTTGGACCCACAATTGGCCCACTAGAGATAGTGACTCATCCATTGCCACCTGCGCGCTGTGTCATATCCATGTGCCCATTCTCTCTCAAAAGCATATCAATCCAAAGGCCTAAACCCATTTACCTTTTATGGCCACGTATAGGGAACCTTATTGTTTTCTTCAAAATGTTCATTATTGTAATGGCAATGGAGGTAGCTGATTAAAGACAAATAAGATGAAAGAACACATTAGTCTTAGTCTTTTAGAGATTAAGAAGACAGAGAATCCTCTTATCACATTGAATTGCAAAACCCAAATAGCCGAATCCAAATTGGTGATATCTAGCTAGCATCCTAAAAGAAAACAAAGCAAAGTCACCATTCATACATGGGTACGGCTTGAGATAATGAATCCCAAAGCGTAAATAACCACCACCGAATTGGCTTTATTAAACACTATTTTAAGATTCATGGAAAAAAAGGGCATGCAAAAACATAAAAATAAAAATAAAAAAGGTACAAGACACACTACTATATAAGTATACATAGCCAACAAAACCATGTCGGCTTCGGTCCCCCCCATGTTTCCCATGTCATTCAATGTGAAACCAAACCCATACATAACATCCTTTTTTGACGTTATTGATGAACCAACAGTCCATGAAGATGCAAAAATACAATTTCCACCCACCCATCATCCATCCCCTGAAATGGGGATCTTAGAGTAAAGGCATAGACTTGCATTAGAAAAATTTGTACAACCATGCTTTGAATATGTGGGCATCAAATTATGGTTTATAGTCAACTTTTATAAGCTGATTTTCCCACCACTCCCAAACAGTGGCTACATAAATATCGGAAAGCTGCTCTAGTTTCTAGATCAAATTATTATTCGTCTGTACATAGAATGCGCGATTATCCTTCCTCTTTTCCGTTATTGCTGCTGCTTGTGTGAACACGTACACTTAGTGCGATTGTCTGAAAGAGTCTGTCAAAGTGTATAATGTAGTAGGAAGAAAATGAGTAATGGAAGGGGTAATACTCATAATTCATTATAGCATATGTTATTAAACATCGTATTCTAATTATAAATGTAATGAATCTTAAAAGGCAATTCTATATCTGTTTTTGAAAATTTACACTGTCAACCAATTAAAAAAAATTATAGACACAGCTTCTAAATTAATTATTACAAAATTTAACAATTTTCAATAATATGAATAATGTTATTTCATTTCAATTAAATTATTTCTGTTATCAATGTAATGGGTTTTTCACTTTCTAAAAAGAAATCTATTTTTAACCGTTTAACCTGTTCATGCATAGGATAGAGACTGAGACAGGAAAGTTTTTAACATACCTGAACTTGCTTTTGAAGGTCTTTAATGTACTCAACAGCCAAGTCCAACATGTCTGCAGTGTTTGTTTGCTGCAAAGAGAGGAAAACAACGTTGATCCGTCAAAGGCTCTTCACAATCCATACATAAAAAGTGACGTATGTGTGCAATAAGTCAAATACTTACCTTATCCATGTTTGGGACGAGATCTTGTAGTTTCCTCATTCGCTCACTAATTTTAGTTCTTCTAACCTGAAGGGAAATTGACACAATGATAACCATTACTTCACCGTGGATGCCAATCATTACAATTTGCCCTATTATGCTTAGGCATCGAATAAATGAGTAACAACATAAATTGTTCGGTGCATTCCGAGTCATGAAAAAGTGATTGAGAAAATCCAGCTCCCTATTTTAGAATCAAGAAACCAGTGCCAGTGAAAAGGAAAAAGAAAATAATTTGGGATTTGGATGCTTAAGTAACTGGACAATATCTTGTTATAAGACAGAACAATGCAAAAAAATAATGGAGCCTACATAAATTATAGTAGGCCCTACTATAATATTTGTATATTTCTTTCTTATAACACGACAAAAATGTAGTCCATGTTTGGTTTTACTTATTTTAAGGAAACAATTGTTCACTTTTAAGAAAGTTTATTATTTTTCTAAAACAATCTTAGCCAAACATGCACTAATACGAGAGGGTATTAACCAATAATTTGACTAAAATAAATTATACCCTTTCTGCAATGCTTCTTGGGTGAGTGGCACATCCCCTCTTGGCGCGAATTTTGCAAGGAACAGAATCTGAGAGTTGAAGAAACTTCTCAATGGCTGCCATTTCTGCTGTAGTATTTGGCAAACTCAAGTGATGAGCCAAAGGAGCAGCAGGAGGCTGGCCTCCAGTTTCATTCTGATCAATGCAACAAAATCAGGTCAATAACATTGAAGTGATAAAATCTACCTCAAACATCAGCAGGGGTAAATAGTGCTAGTCTACCTGATTTTCAGCTGCATTTAAACCAGAAAATGGTTTTACATCATCTTCTCTATATCTTTTTAGACCAGTCATGTTGTCAGATATGATTGTGGACTCATCCCATGGACCCACAGGGAAACCTGAGATAAAATCATTACCCTGGCTTTCAGCATACCCTTCATTTTCTGGATTATTCTGTGTATTGCTCTTGTTCACAATTTCAGCCCTTGATGACATTAGTCCTGAAGAGTAATTTGATGCATTCTTCAACCTCGTTGGAGTTGAAAAGTTTACTTCCTCACTAGTGTTATTAACAGCTCCCATAGTTCCCATGCCTCTTACAGCAGCATAGCCTGCCAATCAAGCTTGCATAGCGTCATTATGACAACCTATTCATGGAGTAAGAAAATGAAGATTGGCATAAATATGAAGCCTAAACCAGCAAATATCGATCATTGTACCCATGATTAGCTCAAGCAACCTCTTCTTTATAAAACCATAGGATTTCTATCACACCTCCACCAAATTCTACTAAGACCATAGCTACCTTCGATTTGGCTTATTTAAAGTGAGAGATTAGAGTAAATTAAGAAGTTGTAGCCATTAATTAAAAATCATTGGTTGAAATTGAAACAACCGCACAATTTATCATTGTACTTTTCACAATTTTAATGGTTAATTTTTCAACTAATGACAATAATTCCTTACTTTAATCTATAGGCAAATGCTAACTACTTAAGGAACCAAAAGTAAATATCTTTTGGTCAAAAAATATAATAAATACACTTCCCCTACAATTTTTATTAAAAACTTTTCACTTCTAATTCTTTAACAAATGTTCTAAGGGTATTAATTAACAAGACCCTGATTTATGAAGTGAATTCCTCACTCTATTTTCTTCTACTCTCTGTTCTCTACTCTACTGGCTGCTCTGTCAGCAAAGTTTATCTAGAATAACAAATTTGAAGATAGTTATCCTACTTGAATTGGCAAGAATTAAGAGCATATTTGATTTTCTTTTTAAAAACAGTTTTTTATTTTTAAAAATATAATATAATAAAAATTTGTCCAATATTTTATTTTTAAACAGAACTATTTTAAAAAGGAAATCAAATATGCCGTTAGTGTTGACATTTTTTTGGAGATGTTTCCTTCCTTCCGTGTGCGTATGGGGATTTTAGGGAAACAAAATGGAAAAGTAAAGGTAAATCAGGATAAAATAAAATAAAATAAAATTTTGCTGAAAAAAAAATTTGACATTTTTTTAAACGAAAAGAAAAAGGTGGTGAAATTAAAAAAATGAAAAAGAAAAAGAAAAAGGACAAGAAATAGGACATACCACTTTCAATGTTAATGTTTGAAAACAGTCCAGCAGGTGAGCTACCATGCCTGATAAGATTGGAACTAGTTCCACAACCAGTCTTCATCTGATTTGGCAAAGGTGGTCGTCCAGTGTTTTGGTAAAAATTCCGAGGCGCAGAAGAACCATAACTATTGATATTACTTTGGTGTAGTTGGTGAAGAACCACAGGTTCATTATTTATTGATGTCAAGGCCTGAGATTGCTGGTTAACCTCTTCTTTAACCACAGAAACTTGCTGTTGCTGAACAGGTGGGAGATTCTGAGTGAGTGAAACTGAATCCTCAGCATCAGCATCAGCATCAACATCACCCCCACCAAGACTATTCACAAACCGTGTCAACATTCGCTCCGTTTCAGGACTAGAGGGGCGATTGAAGACGTGCTCATAGAACTCACGGTCAATGATGCTCGAAAAATACGAACTTGGAGCTGATCGGTACCGTGTCAACCCTGAATTCATCTGTTGCTGGTGATCCAGAAACATTGGAGGGTGCTGCTGAAGATCTGACTCCATTAACCCTCTTCACTTCTAATTCACACGCGCTCAAATTCAAATTTCAAAACTTGAACCAAAGTTTTTCTCTTTTTATTACCCAGATCACACCAACTTCTTCCAATCCTCTACTTCCACCCAATTCCTGAAAAAATTAAATAAAAATAAAATCTTTGTGCAGAGATCTAAAACTAACCAAACAAACCCCAAATCTAGATAATTTAACTTCCAACGCTAAACTGTAAAGTGAGTTGCCTCAAAATCAGGAAGAGATCAAACAAGCTCAGAAAAATAAAGAACACGACAAAAAAGGGAGAAAAACATGAGTTGTAGTTCTATCACACACAAACATAACATCGAAAGTCATAGAAACTAACGGAAACGTTTCCCTGTTTCTAAAAGTGAATCAATCAGCTCAAGGGGACAAGACAAGCAAACAAACCAACATGGGAAGATAAACAAAGGGTACGAACTACGAAGTTTAAAGTTTGAAGTTTGAAGTTTTAACATAAGAGCAAAGAACACATACCTGCTTCTTTTCTTTTTTTTTCTGTGCACTGGAACACCTTGGAGGTGAAGTGTTTTAATTTGTTTTGTTAGGCTTGCGTGTAGTGGTGACAGTGGTGGTGGTGGTGGAGAAGGGTGTGAACGAAGGTTCAAGAGAAAGGATTATAAAAATAGCAATGGATTTAGCTTGTGAGGAGGTGCAGCCAATGAGAAGTGAACAGAGGCATAAATGGAGGTCTGGGATTGAGTTAAAGTTTTACTAGAATACCCTCAATTTTGGGAAGAAACCAAATGGGAGATAAACGTGGCAGAGAGGGGCTTCCGAAGGGAGAAAGAACACAAGTTAATCCTATATTTAGAAGTAAAGGTAGGTTTTGATAAAATGGGAAGGATACGAGGTGAAATGACTTTATTGCCTGCACTCTTCCATCGCTGCATCATCATCAATCAATGCTATATACAATATGAAATCATTAAACTATCATTTCATTTTCCAACATTTCAGCTCTCGTTCAATTCCCCAACCAAATGGATTTTCTTTTTGTTTTTTTCAACAATGCTAATTTGTATTTTTGTAATTTCATCTTTTGTTTAAATCATTTAATGTCACTCTTGTAATTTGGCATTAAATTGATGTCACTTTTTTACAAGCATTAAAACAAATTTCTCCCTCTTTGAAATTATTGTTTTCTGCCGAGTTTGGGTGGCACCATACACTCGTGCGCAGCAATTTCGCCCTATGGAATTCAGCGAAAGATAAAAAAATATATCAGGTTACATCTGTATATGGTCTTAAGGTTATCTGTATGTTCCTAACCCAACGCTTCAATCTGACAAGTCTTTTACTACTTTTACTTTTTTTAATTTACACTTTTATATTTAGTCACTATTTTGATATGTTTTTTTTTTGTCAACATATGGATTATTTCAAACTCAAAATTTAAGTACAGTTAAATTTTTTAATTTTTCCTATAAATGTATTTAATAAGATTGGAATTTATCTCTTTGTATAATTTCAGCAACTAAATTAGACACTTCACGTGTTTATAGAAAGATGAATATGAATTCTCTATATGCATGATCTGTGAGTATTATTATTATTTAGTTCTTACTATCCATTAAATAAGCCTCGTATGTTTATTATTTATATATAAAAAGAGAAACAGATAAAAAAAATTAATATGAATTTATATTTTTAAATTTGAAATGACAATATGCACTCTCTACTCATGAATATGTTAAGGTCAAGACATGTAATTGGGTGGAGCCTGTGATTCTTTTGTTCCATCACTGTCTTTGAATACTCCCATTAAATAAAGTTGATTATTTTCAGAGAAAATAACATAATATATCAATCGCCATTAAAGCTAATTCAGTAATACCTTACAGTATAGCTGAAAATTAAAAAAAAAAAAAAAGTCATTGATGTTTGTGTGTTTGTGTGTATATTTCCCTTTTTTCTTAATACAATCTTATTCTTTTGTTTAAAACATCCCAATCTCTTAGAGACAGTAAAATTTCAAGGAAAAAAAATAAAATTTTCGTAATATGGAATTGGTGAATCCAAAAACATGCAAGATTTGAATAATTTGCAGTTCAACGACAGTAATTAAAAACACAATAGAGAAAGGTGTGAGCAACTATATAATCCCACATATGAAGTCCACGCACTTATTTGTTTTCTCCTTATAATTAATTAGTAGCTAATTGAAATGCATAAACACACATATTTAAGACAAATCTGAAGGATTAAAAAAATGAAAAATTGCTACATGTACTTGAGATATTGGTGTTGCGAGAAGTGGAAAGAGAAAAGCAAATATTTCTATGTTGCATTGGGGACCACTGCTTCCACACGGACGTTCGTGCACGGAGATGCGTTGAAAATAATTTCAATGGACCCTCTAATAAGTGCTACTCTCTTTTATTTATTCTTTACCCAATAAATAAACAATTTTCAAAATTTAAGAAATGTAGAAAGTTGACTCGATTAATAAATTCATCTCACACACTTTTTATTATTAATTCAAATTTATTAAAAACTACAAATTAAAAAATATTAATTTAAGAATAAAAATAATACACTTTTTTTAAATCGATTTACCATCACTTGAATTACTGAATACGTCTTTTTCGGAATAAATTTTCATTTATCTAAAGAATAATGATTTATTCTTTAATTATTGGCTAAGATAAACAGAAAAAAAAGGTTGAATATCCTGTGCATATGTGTGAATATGACTTAAAATAAAAATTTAATCACAACGGCATGAACTCCTGATCATAAACTAGAAAAATTGAAACTTGTTGCTTTTAAGATGACGATTATCGCTTATTACTTTCAAATATAAACAAAGAATATTATAGTTAATAATAAAAATTAAAGTTTTAATATAATTCATTATTATATATATATATATATATATATGCCTTATCAATTTATTTTATTTTCAAAATTTAATGGCCCAACCGAGAATTTTTAATGAAGTTATATTAATTATCTTATACTAACAAAGTTACTTGTGATTGTGGATCTCGCCTTCGAGTGAGACCCCACGTCTATATTATTAAATATCCAAATACATCTGTCATGCTTTTTATTTAAATAATCATGTACCAAAGAAATTAATAGTTTTAAATACAATTAATAAACTTTATAATTAATCATGATAAGTCCCTGTATGATAAAATCCTGTACTTCTTTGTTTTCAAGAAAGTGGTTTTACTAAATAAAACAATGCTAATAGTTTTTAATATTTATTTTTTTATTAGAATTTTGTTAATTTCAGTTTTTAAAATTAAATTTAAATATTTATAAATAATTTTTTTTATAAAAAAAATATGTAATTATTATATTAAAATTATAAAAATATAATAAATATTATTTTTAATAAAATTTTATTATTATTAATGGTTTATCTTCAGTTCTAAAAACTTACGTTAACAAAACTTTTTTATTGTATTTTAATACTTTTTAAATGCTCATTGGTGTAATTAATATAACTTCCCTGTTTGGAAGTTGGAACGTTTCTTACTACACCGTGAAAACTCAAAAATTTATAGAGATTTGATTTAGGAATATTCATAATTTCATATTGGTTTCTTCAGACAATAAAATCTTATGCTTATTAAATTATTTCATATGAATTTTTTTTATAATAATTACTTTAATTTACAGTAGCGGTAGCAAATGTGATGCACATGAAAATAATCATTTTCTTTTGGTAATCTGAAAAAATCTAAAAATTTCGGACTTAATTAAACAATATTTCACGATATTTCTTTCTTAAGATATTTAATTGGTAAACATTCAAGAAATACTAAATAAAACACTGAAATGCTTAATACACTAAATGTTATACTTTATAGTAAATTTCTATAATTTTAATTTCTCAACTAATTAAACATTTTAAAGACTGAAATAATTTGGGAACATCTCCTACAATAATGTCTGTTTATTTTTTACTTATGCGATGGAAAATAAAAATAAAAAGTAGATAAAAGAAAAGATTAAGAAAAAGAGTTAGTAAAAATGTTTTTATTATAATAATTAAGAAGAGCACCGTTGTATTGCTGGCCTGTATCCTTCATTGAAGGAGAAAATGACGGAAGAAAATTTGAATAAAAAAAATGAAAGCGTTTTGATTGGGTTAACGATCTTAATGTCAATTTTGTTAAGTAGTAGTATAATGTAGTTAATGAAAAACACTTAAAACAAAAAGTGGTGGAATTGAAAATATATATATAAATTCATACTTTAAATAATTATAACCGTTTACAAATGTTAATTAAAAATTTAAAAAAATAATGTTAAGAATACATTTGAAGTTTCGTAATATTGAATATCACGTTTGTTATTAATAAAATATGATAACTCTATTAACTTGTGAATTTATCTTTTTATATATAAATTTTATCTTATACAAAAAAAATAATAAATTTTTATATTTTTATTGATGCTTGCAACTTTTTTACTTACAAGTATCTAAATCATCTTAATTGATTTTTTATTTACTTTTTATAATTGATGTTGTTTTTTCTATTTTTTTACGTGACTAGTCGTTCATTTTAGTATAATTATTTTATAACTATCATTTTTTTATGTTGTTCTTCTAAAGTTTGACATTCAATACTATCGTATCGTAATAATAGGTATTTTACAATGAATGTCTGTATTTTAACAAATGAGTTTGTATTTTTTGTAATATGTTGGTTATTTTTTCTATTTTCTAAAACGTGTTTCCAAATGTATGACACTATCTTCAATTTTAGCTTTCAAAAAATTTTCATTATTTAATTTCTTACTAAAATTGTAATGTGTGTATTCTATTTTACTAATACTCAAATAAAAATTCTCAATTTTCGAAAATTGCAAGTTCAAAGTTTAAATTTGAAAATTTTGTTAATTGTGAATCAAAATTATATCATCTTAAAAAAAATTAGGTTAAAATAAATTAAACTAAATAACTCTAATTTATTATTTTAGTATAAATTTGACTTAATTTTATTCAATCTTGTTTTTATTAAATTTTGATATTTTATATTTTGTATCATTGTTGTCGATTGAATCAACACATAAGAGTTAAAAATAGACGCAAAAGAAGGTGACAAGGCACGTGTTTTCCCCTAAAATAGTTAATAGTGGGGAGTTGCGGCCAGCCGGGCATTCTAACTTGATATAATGTGCTTTTGTACTGTTACTGAATCACACCATACCCATATCTTTTTCCACATTTCACTGTTGCTAAAAGACAAAATCTCTTTGAGTGAGACCCAATCACTTTTCTACTTCGTTTACATATAAATATATTGTTTATACTAAGTGCCACTGTCTCACCCTCGTAAACTAATGTTAAATTGCCTCTATGTCCATGTGCCACTGTCATCAGGTTAAAGGAACACAAAAAGAAATTCCCTTTACTTTTTTTCTTATATTTGTCATTTTAATTATTAATCATGCTGAGGAAAAGATGAAAAAGAATATGTGCTTGGTTGCATGTGTCCATGTTGTGCTATGTTTGTCTTCCAAATTTTTTGAGTCTGTACATACAAGTCATAAAGATGAAGTAATGAAGAGAACACAGTAAAATTGGGATTTTGTTAGATATGTTGTACAAATTTTAGAAGTGGCTTTAATGATATAAAAAGTTTTATTTTATCAAATGCAGTTGTTCAAAGACTAAAAAAGGCCTAATAAAAGGCCTAATAAAAGGCCCAAATGTTCTATTTGTGCAATTGGTATTTGTTCTGGATTCTGGTGATTCAAAAGACCAGACAAAAGGAACGGATGCAGGGGAGATGCTTTTTACACACCCTATTTTACTTTCTACATATATGTATAGTTCTTAAAATATCTTTTATAATAATGCAAAACTATATATATATATATATATAAAGTGAATGAAGATAACTAAATAGCGAGCGGGCATGTGCTACGGGATAACTGTAAATGTTACGTTCAATGACCTCTGTCCAATTTTATTTAGATAAAAAGGAAGATATATTATACAAACTCAAATCAACAAGAAGGCATAGTTCAACTGCCTAAAGAGAAGTAACTTGAAAACAGACTCAGAAGGTTGTTGGGCACTATAATAACGTAGACGCACTGTGAATAATAAAAAAAAAAAGGTGTGAACTTAACCCTGAAAAACAATTACTCATTTTCCTTTTTAGTATTTGAAATAATGTTTATCAGTTTTTTGAAATTATATATTTAGAAAAAATTTACTATTTGAAATTAGATACTGGAAATTAAATTCTCAACTCATTTTCCTTTTAAGATTTATAATGCATATGATTAAACGTGACAAGAGACATGCGCACGCTATATGTTATGTTACAGGCAGTGATCATTGTGTTAGAAAGGATATGATTTTTCTACGGGAAAATGGAACGGCTAATGATCAACTTCTATGATTTTTTAGTTCTTATACGAAGAAAATAAGTCTTTTAGTTTAGGTGAAAAGAAAGAATGTTTTAGAAGAAAAAAAAAAGTATAATCAGTAAATAAAACAGGCCCGGTGCAGTTATCAGGAACATCGAAATGAATTGATCTTTCTACAGGCATGGATCCAGATTGGAGCCCAAAATCGTGTCAGCTTTTATTTTCTTCCCATCTTGCATCAGGCCCACTTAGCAGGCGTTTTGGAAGTTTCCGGCATCATTGGGCAACCAAATAAAGCATATTACCTTGACCAAAAGATTGGCTTAATTAGCTGCATCTGCGTTGACTAATTTTATGTTCGATTCATAAAAAAAGCCAGATAGTTCTCACAACTTCTAGAGACTAAAACATGATACTCAATCGTACCATACATCTTGTTTACTTTCCATGCAATAGCATTTTGAACCCATAAAGTCTAAATTTATAAGGTGTTCTTTTGTAATCTTATATTATTTAAGTATCATGAAAGAATATGATGATTTTTCAGACTAATATTAATATCAAATTGATGTCTGTGCTACACATTTTGACCATTTACAAAATATTTTGCACATATAGACATATATTAAGATTTTTTTAATACTTCCGGCTTCAATATTGACAGTTATTAAGCCAGAGGTTGAGTTGTCTCTTACCTTTACTTTTTTCATGAAATGATAACTCAACAATATGAGAGCCTCGGGGTAATTTGCTTCTTATTTGTTAAAACGTTTGTATTAATTTGTGAAATCAATAATATTGGGATCAGTATAAGTCAGTGAGATCTTTATAAAATGTGAAAAGAAAAAACGACTTTAATGGATTTTTGGAAAATTTATCATTCAAAATGTGGAAAAATATTATAAAACAAAAAGACTGATTGTAAATCATTAAAATAATTATGATTGAAAATTGTGTTCGCATCAACCACACATTACATAAACAAGTTGGGCTTTTTCGCCTTGTATGTGGTCTTCAACTTCCTTGAAGGTGGCCTAACTTTCTTGAACACCAATGGGAACTTGATTTTGGAGTTGTGAAATTGTTTGGTGCTTTCCCTTTTGCAAAGCTTAGCTGGGACGGTGGCAGTCTTGATAATTTGGATGCAAGGGTACCTGACCCTGTGACGAGAAGCCATCTCATTGTACATCTGCTCAACTGCACCATTCAGAGTGGTATCACGGAACTCCTTGTACATGTTGTGATAGCCTGTCCTACTCTGATACCTCAACCATATACCATAGTTCTTAATCTTGGTTGGGTTCTTCTCAAAAATCTGCAAAATAAGTTCATTTGTGATCGATGGATTTTAACACGCCAGAATAATGTTACTGGGTGTATTTTCAATTCTGTTGAAACAAATTGCATATCCAGACACATTTTTCCATGTACAAGAATATGTCATGATCCAAATTAACTCAACAGATTACTTAGTTCACTAAAATCATAGGTTATTGAGAAGTTCAGAAACAGTTCATACATGAACTAACTTGATTGAAATTACATATCATCAACAGTTATTTATAGCTAAACAGTGGTCAGGTAAAAACAATTCAGTATATGCAAACATCAAACAGGCAATTCAATTTTATTAAAAGCTTGATTACGCAAATAATATCTGTAGGAATTTGCTATGAAAATTTATATGAAAGGAAAGCTTTAAAAATAACACTTCACAGGTAAATTTTGCAATATTTGTGCGTCATTGTTATTCAGTTCTGAAATAAGGAATATAAAATACTTGTAAGAAACTATCCATGTCATTTCCCCCAATTATAATTTCCTTAACAGGTAAATGGGACTCGGATTCTCTCCCGTACGTCCTGTCACGTTGATTTTGTATTTTCGCTTAAGCAAAAATGCAAAATTTTGCTTGACTGGACCGTCCAGTTCGCGCCAAAACGGGAGAGAATCCCGGTCCAGGTCAATGTCATATAAACATCAACCTAGATAGCATTGACCATCATAAAAGCAAAGCAACTCAATCCACCAATAATACACTTTCCTCAACAATTTCCATCGTAATCGAGAATTATATCATTGTTTTCATCAAACCATATTTTCAAACCATCGGGAAAATATCCAGAAAGAAAAACAAACAAAGCAATCTGATTTTTAAGATAGATTGTACCTCGTTGATAGCAAGGACTTGACCATTACTCTTCTTAACCTTCTTCAGCTTCCTCAGAAAATACCTGATTAAAAAAACAACAAATCCCCAAAATTCAAAACACAAACAACTGACTTCAATTGATGAAGTCATAACACAAAATAATCCTGCAAAACATTGCATTAAAGATCTCAAGCGAGAGACGAAAGAGTTTACCAGAACTTGGACTTAGCGCGAACTTCATTGGTGGCCCACAGCTTCATACGATAAATCTTGGGGTGTTCATCTGCTTCCGTAGGGAGAGCCCTCCCAACAACCTGGTATTGGTGGAACTGCAGAGCAAACAAACGTCACTTGACAAAAAATGGATCTCAATGGAAAATGAAAAACAAAGGTTATTGAACCGAGTTTACTCACCCTAAACGTAACCATTTCTGAGACTAACGGAGAACGCACGCACGCACTCGTTCTGTCTCTCTCTTTCTCAGTCTCGTGCTGTGACAAAGAGAAAGAAGGTAGGGTTTTGATTATATATGAAGCGCCACGAAACCCTAATTTGGAACACGTTGGTAAAAGGGCTTGTCCTTTCTTTGGGCCCGACGATTTCGAGGCCCGAAACATACTGGGTATTATTTTACCATCATTTTATAAAGGAAAAATATTCTCCTGGACCAAAAGAAAAAACAGGAAAAAAAAATCTCGGACAAAAAAGGGGAAAATATAAATAAAAATGTATTTAAAGAAATATTTAATTAATATATAATTATGTTACTGATAGTAAAAACAAAAATATTTGAATTTCTCAGTTTAAAAAATTCTCAAAAAAAGTTTTATTGATAAAAAAATATTTTGATGGTAATTGATAGATATTTTATCATGATATTGATTAGTGTTAATCGAAGAAAATATAAGTGTCGGATAAATAAATTAAAGATATTTTTTAACTAAATAACTAAATAGTTTTAAAAATATTATTTTGATTTGATAGAAAAAATTATAAAACAAATGTTACAAAATAACAGAGACCCGTTCTTTGAAAAAAAAATGAATACTTCATGCATATTTAGAAACCTAATAGAATAAAATTAAATTCTATCTGTCTGTAGATAGATATAATAAAATAATGAAAATAGAATAATAAATAAATACTCAAATTCAATTGAACATAAATAACAAAAATTTTGTTAAAAATTAAAATAAATAATTAATAAATTTAAATTCATTTTAAAATAGAAAAAAAATAAATAGAATAAATAGAGAGATAGAATATAAGCAGGGAGTAGAAATTGAACTCGCATTGATAGCTTGGAAGGTTTATTCATCGTTATGATTTTAAGTCACATTTTACGTGGACATTATAGTTTATTATGCAAACAAATTTTTACGCATTAAGTGTAATTTTTAAAAAAGTATAAGAAATACTTTTAGTGTTAATAATAAATATTATGTTTTATTGGATTATATATGTTCAAAGGATAAAACTTTTGAATGGTAGAAATAAAATATAAAAAATAAATTGAATAATATTTGTATGTTTACGAAATTAATATGGTGGATCAATTATAATTTACGGTGTATTAACAGGTCCCGGAGTTTCCATGCGTAATTATGACAGCCTATTAACGGAGTAAGAAAATGAAGATTAGCATAAATATCGATCAGTGTACCCATTGTTTCTCATAAATCCTTAATTTGACAACTTAAAAATTCATTTTCTGCGAGCATTAAATCATACGGATCCTGTCTCCCACGTTCTTCTATTCCATCCGATATTCTTTATTAAATTGTTGAGGTTTGCTAAGGATTATTATCTTAAGGATGGTGTTTGATAAATATAAGTTAAAAATAAAAATAATATTACAAATTTTCTATTAAAACTTTTCATTCTCATATTTTCTTTATTATATCTGGAGACTATGCTCTTAACAAGATGACAGTATAAATCAGAGTCAGGTCCCTAACTCTCATGCATGCACATATCGCGCATCTCTACATTCATATTCTCTTTCCATCTTTTCAAAACCACAATGAATGCAGTTTGGTTAACGCCGTTGACAGCGCTGTTACTGCTCGCCGTTTCCTCCACCGTCCACTCCTGCCCGCCGTCGGACCTAGCGGCGCTGCTGGACTTCAAGTCAGCTCTCCAGGAGCTTCACTACGGCATATTCAACTCCTGGACGGGTGCCGATTGCTGCCACCGCTGGTTCGGCGTTTCCTGCGACCAAAACTCTGGTCGTGTCGCCGAAATCAGCCTCCGCGCTGGTTCCGTCTACACCACCTTCGAAAAACCCCACCGTCCCGGCTGCATGACCGGTCACATATCGCCGGAGATTTGCAAGCTAACTCGTCTCTCCAGCATGATCCTCACAGACTGGCAGGGAATCTCCGGCGAGATTCCTCGCTGCATTTCCTCCCTTTCTTTCATCCGCATCATCGATCTCTCCGGAAACCGCATCTCCGGAACTCTCCCCGCCGACATCGGCAGGCTTCAGCAGCTTACTCTGCTGAGCGCCGCCGATAACCTCATTGCCGGCAAAATCCCGCCGTCGCTGACTAGCGTGACCGGTTTGATGCATCTTGACCTTCGTAACAACAAGATCTCCGGGCCCATCCCGCAGGGATTGGGCCGGCTTCAAATGCTGAGCCGGGCCCTTCTGAGCGGGAACAGCATAATCGGGCCTATCCCGAGCTCAATTTCTAAAATATACCGTCTTGTGGATCTAGATCTTTCTAGGAACCAGTTGTCTGGGCCCATCCCTGAGTCATTGGGCCGAATGGCGGTTCTGTCAACCTTGAAGTTGGACATGAACAAGCTTTCGGGAAAGATACCCACGAGCCTTTTCGGCTCGGAAATCAGTGACTTGAACTTGAGCCACAACATGTTGGAGGGAAATATACCAGACGCGTTTGGGGATAGGTCTTATTTTACGTCACTGGATTTATCGTATAATAACCTCAATGGTCAAATACCCAAATCAATATCTTCAGCTTCTTACATTGGGTATTTGGACTTGAGCCACAACCATCTCTGCGGCCCAATTCCCAGCTCCTGCAATAATCTGGATGCGTCATCGTTTGCTTACAACGATTGCCTCTGTGGAAAGCCACTCAAAGCTTGTTAATTAACGCTACTACATCAACAGCTATTAATCTCATTCAAACTTTTCTAATCAATCCTCAATGTGTCTGTGTTGTCATATTAATTAATAAAAATAGAAGGTTTGTATCGTCCATGCACGTGCACATCGCGTAAGATCTCAGAAACGCATTGTTTCAAGGTTGACGAAGCTCTTTATTCAAAATTGAATTCAGGATGTCTGATACCCCCTGTCATTAAGAGCGGTGGAACAACAAATTTAAAAGTATATAGATAATGGGATATTAATTGCGAATGGATGTTGATGAATGGTAGACAGCACATGTGAGTAGCGGTGAGAAAATGAATGACTGTTCTACACTGTAGCCGTTGCTGCTGCATCCATGCTGCATGCCCCGGTGAGACCGGAATCGGGTCTCTCTCTTGGTTGGCGTGTCCCCCATACACGAAATAATAATTTTTTTATATTTTTGAAATAATAAATATGTTTATTTTTATTTAATATTTATTTATAAAATAGTAAAAAAAATATATTAAAAAGAGATGGTATATATATATAGAAAAGCTCTCACCTATGATCTGATTGCATGCTTACTAAGAACAAAATAAACCGAATGCAATCAATTAGGGCGTATATCAGACCGCCAGAGAAGTTAACCACTAAAAATATAGACTTAATATCATAAGTCTATTACTAATGAAAAATGATTTGTGTACGCTAAACAAATACACTTGCCTTGCAATAGCGCGGGTTTGAGCCTAAGGACCTGACATACCCTGAAATAATTTATCCATATTCCTGTTTTTATATTAATTAAAAAATCATAATTAAGCTTCAAATTATTTAATTGAAAATATATGAATTAGGTAGAGATATTTATGGGTTAACTTTGACTTAAAAACACTTCAAAATATTTAGAAATAAGTTTTTCAAAATTAAGCACAAACAATTTGAGCTTTTCTAGTACCTTCCTAAAGAGAATCATAGTCCCTATTATTATCTAAAATATTAAGAACCCTAATTCTCATTCTCTAAATCAGACACATATTCATTTGAGCGTAAGTAATTAATACTTTAAATTTTACGAACCTTAATTCTTAAATTGTTGATTTCCATATTTCATGAAGTGCTCATTCAATACTTCTAATGTTCAAAATTCTTTACAAAGCTCGATCTTTTAAGTCATATCACGGCATATAGATTTGTTAACGTACTCTATATTCTTAAATTGTCTCAATTTTAATCTTATATTTCACGTTTTAAGTTTGGATTTGTTATTCTATAATATATTTATTTGTTTTTAGTTTAGATTTGTTAACGTACTCTAAATTCTGTTATGTTCCATAGTTCAATCTTTGCTTGGTTAGTCATGTTGTTTTGTTGAGGATTGTGACTATAAGAGTAAGAGAAAGAAAATTTCTCTTATCTATGGATTAAGAAAAGCGTACTACGAACATAAAATGTGATAGTTTTCATTTCCTTAAACTTTTTGTCACCATGATATATTTATGCTAGAATTAGAGATTTCATAAATGGAATGCAAATATTGAATATACTGATTCAAAATATACGCACGTATCTTGGAGCTACCATAGAAGATTGGAGCAAGTTGCTCAGCAAGCATATATCGAGAAGTTTCAAAACACAAAGTAAATCTAGGGTGTTATACTGTGAGATATTTAGAACAGACATATATCTTGACATCAACAAAAGCACTTGTGAATTTAATTTGAAGGTTGGGATGTGAGAAACTAAATTTAATTTTTAGTTTAATTATTATTAATTGAAAAAGGCAAAAATCCTAGTATTGAAAACAAATCTTTTTCTTTTCTTGTAAATCTAGGTTTGGTGGTGATCATTCAAAAATTAAATATAGAATAAGACTTAAATTTAGCCATATTAAATTCGTACATTATTGTTTTATAATTTATTTTGAAACTGCTAGATTACCTTTAATTTTGGTCTTATTTCGTACAAAACTAATACTCATATTTCTTAACGTATATTGTAGTGATCAATTTATTAACTATTGAATTTGGGGGTTGGAATGCCTATATTATAATGTAATTTTTGTGCAAAATTGTAATTGAATGACTAACATTTTATTAAGATATAATTTCTTTTATTTTGTCTTTTTTTCCCCTTTTTTTTCTTTTAAGTGGACACGATATAATGCAAGTTATACTGAAATTCTCCTTTTAAAATAGTCATGATGAGGTGCATTCTTTGCGTCCTATATATAAAATGATAAATTGTTAAAAAAATGAAAAAATAAAAAATAAATAAAAACTGTGAAACTAATACTAAGTTAATATATTTCCATTTGTGAAAGATATCCTTTGAATAAATTACTAAAAATCACACTCTTACAATATTTTCGTATGATCTGAAAATGGGCAATTTTTCTTTACGAAAATATTTCCTTTACGAAGTTAAATAAAGGTTGCGTCATTAAATCCCTTTACGTATGAAGCTAGGTCTTATCAAGAACTCTTGCAGGAGGTTCCACGAAGGGTTTCTATCGCAATGTGGACATTTGCTTGGGGAATGTTGTGGGGTCTGAAAACTGCAACCCAAGAGATTTATTCCATTGCATAGTGTATTCCTTAACACTTTCTTTAATAAGAAAAAAAAATTATTATATGTATAGAACTTGTTATGATGGATATATAGAGAAATGATGGACTTTGTTCAGCTGAACTAGGATATTAGATTCCATCGTATGTAACATGTGTGCGGATTCATCTTACATCTTTGTTCTGCGTATAGCATTTCACTAAAACAAAAAACAGAAACAGATAACTAAAAGAAAAATTATTTACGTTTATAATTTTTAGAGATCATTTGATGATTTTTTTCAAGAAATGAATCGAGACAAGAATTAATTTTTTTTTTCATAAACCGAATTAGGTGTTTACTGTAAAAGTTATAATATTACACGGAACTCAATTTAATTTTTATATTTGTGAATATATATTACACATCTTATTGAGTCGTCAATTCAAAATGAGCATGTTTTGCGTGTGAGAGAGATGAGGCTAAAGTAGATTTGTGTCATGCAGGTGGTGTGAAAAATGTTGTCAAAATAAGAAAGAAATCTATGCATTACTCCTAAATGGCGTCAAACAATTGCCAATTAATATGTTCATATTTTAGTCATATATTGACTTATTGATTTTGACTTATAATTGAGAGTTGTGCTTGAACATATGGGTTACGTTGTAAATTATATATTTTGAATACTTAATTTTAATCAAACTCTATTGCATATAAGGTAAAATTTTAAACACATGAAAAATGTTGTATCTAATTTTTTGGTAAAAAGGAAAAGGAAAAAAATAAAGTATAAAATATGCAAACTGTTAAATAAACTTTAATATAAACTACAAAAGAAAATATATAGTAACAATTACAATTCTCTCTTGAATATAGGAGAATGTCTCTCCTACCCGGCTCGATCGATCTAGGTGAAATTAACAGATACTACACACAAAGTGTCAAACTTTGAGCTTGAGTACTCTTTAGGCTATGTGATAACTAGCCGGATAAATACCATCACTTTAAAAAGACACCTGCTTTGCCATAATACTGAATCAGATACTACGCACAAAGTGTCAAAGTGCAATTCTCCCAATTTCTTTTTGGTGTTATAAGCAACACATACACTTACTACTTCCCTTCCTTCCCATCTTAATTCTCACTTCCCATTCTACTCTTAACCTCCCTACATTTATCACATCCAAACACCAACGATCCATGCGAGTCGCCCCCACCACGATCACTTTAAAAATCACATTACAAAATTCCTTTCTTGTTAATAGAACCATGCAATGCTACCTAGCTAGTTAGCTTCCCCTAGAAAATCATACAAATTAATGCTTACATCACAAGTATTACAATATAATCCCCTTTTCTTCTACCAATCTCTCGATATATATGACACCAACCCGTTGCTACATCCCATATATAATAGTAAGTGACAAGCATGCATGATTGCACTTGCACTTACGCAATAACTAAATAGTCAAATAACATACCAACCAAAAACAACAAAATGGGTGGTGCTAGCTTCGTCTTGGCAATGGCATTAGTAATCCTAATGGCTCTAACATCCTCACGAGTAGAGTCATGTCCTCCCTCCGAATGGGCATCACTCATGGCCTTTAAGGCAGCACTTAAAGAGCCCCATTTAGGAATCTTCCATTCATGGAGTGGTACTAACTGCTGCTACCACTGGTACGGCATCACCTGCGACCCCACCACTGGCCGCGTCGCCGAAATCACCCTACGCGCCCTCACCGTCACCGACGACCACCGCTACAACCGCCGCACCGGAACACCCTACATGAGCGGCCACATTTCTCCCTCAATATGCAACCTCACTCAACTCTCCAGCATCACAATCTCCGATTGGAAGGGCATTTCCGGAAACATCCCTCGCTGCATCACAACGCTCCGTTTTCTTCAAATCATTGACCTCTCCGGGAACCTCATCTCCGGCAAAATTCCGTGGGATATAGGGCGCCTCACCCAACTTACGCTGCTCAACCTCGCAGACAATCACATCTCTGGGAGGATTCCGAGGACGTTGGTGAACCTAACCAACCTCATGCAATTGGACCTTCGCAATAACGCCATCGAGGGCCCAATTCCTTGGGATTTGGGCCGGCTCAAGAGACTGAACCGGGCCTTGCTGAGTCATAACCGGATCACTGGCCGAATCCCACGGTCCATTTCTGAAATTTACGGGTTGGCGGATCTGGACTTGGCTCTAAATCGGTTGTCCGGTTCGATTCCATTTTCTTTGGGCCGAATGAAGGTTCTGGACTCGCTGAATCTGAAGTATAACAACCTAACAGAGAAGATTCCGTGGACTCTATTGGGCTCCAGAATAAGCCATTTGGATTTGAGTTGGAACTGGTTGAGTGGGCCCATTCCCAATGTGTTTGGAGGAAAATCGTATTTTATAAGCCTTGATTTGTCGCATAATAATTTGACAGGTTCAGTAGCTAAATCTATGGTGCATGCTACCTATATCGGACATTTGGACTTGAGTCATAACCGTCTCTGTGGCCCCATTCCACGTGGTGCACCGTTCAACCATCTTCCCCTGAGTTCATTGGATCATAATCTGTGCCTTTGTGGAAAACCGCTTAATCCCTGCACTCATATCCCATGAACCATCAACTCAGTTGGTAGTGCTAAACGTGTGTCTAGCACTAATAAAAACTCTTTTGCATGTTTTTCATTTTGTTTTGTATTCGATTTTAAATTCGCAAACTGTAATATAGTTTATTAAGATTTCTTATTCTTGAATATGATTTACTTCTTTATGAGTTAATAAATTTTTTTATTAACATACCAACGTTACTACATACATAAAGTTATGATAAAAATGAATTTTCTAGATTAATTTATTTTTTATAATTATTATAAATATTTTTAATATAAATTTTCTATTTATTTTTACTTTTATATCCATTTTAATAAATAAAAAACACAATATTATATAAATAAATATATAAAAGGGTAATAAATATATTAAGCAAATATATAAAAGTATTAGATTTTTTAGTTATTTAAATCAATACAAAATTAAAAATAAATATATAAATTATATTTCAAAAGTTATAATAAGTATATCTATTTATATAATAAAAAACTAGTATATTTAAAAAATATAGTAATTTCTTTTCTCTTTTTAATATTTTATAGATATATTATTTGGAATTGACAAAATTTATAAAAATAGAACACAACAAATATATAATAGACACTAAATGAATTGGAATTAACAAAATTCATAAAAAAACAGAACACAGCAAATATATACTAGAAGACACAAAATGAATTGAAATTGACAAAATTCATAAAAAAAAACATAACCCATATACTGGAAACAAAATGAAACTCGTAATAACATTTAAAGAAATATATACTAAGAATCATCTATCAATCTTGAATATTGAAATAAACAGTATAATGTTCATCTCTAAATTTGAATAATGGCTCTAAAAGAAAATTCCTGTTTGCTCCTTTAGCTACGAAAGAAACAGGATTGTATTGGCTTATTCCATCCAAAGCGACAAAACTGGTTGCTTGGTTAAAAGAAGGGTTAGAAGCAGACATGCAACTGAGCTTAACTCCTGCAGCAGAATTCAGACCAGTATACACGTAACAACCCTTGTTGCTTTCGGATTCCAGAGATATAGTTCCATTTCGTCCATCCAACCCCGGTATTACTGAAAAAGCAGAAGATGTCCCAGGTGAAAAATTTACGATGTTAAGAGATTTGTCTGGTCCTTGTTCAGTCACGTACATTCCAGGGAGATCAAATGGTTCCAACATCACTGATGTACCATTCGATTCCTTTGGCACAAGTCTAAAAGTTGATCGAGGAGCCAAATCAGTGCCAGGTTGAGGTAATATTTGCATCGCAAGGGTTTGATTTGAGTTTGCTAAGACATAAGTTGATTTTTCAAAGTTCTGTGCACAAGAAATTAGTTGACTATTGTAACTGGCAGGAATTGGAGTAATCCAGTTTGAATTGCCCCCATCCTTAAGTTCCCAATCACCGCCGCTAGTATGACCCGCAAGAAGATAAGGACCATAGAGAATTGCTTTAACTGATACATAGTCAGGCCTATCATCTGAATTTAATTAAAAACATAATTAGTAACGAAATCAAAATCTCTAGTTAGAAGTAGAATATTTGTAATACACAAGTAAATTATCACATAATTCTACCTTTTATTGCCTCTGTTCTGAGAGTAATGGGAAACTGAAGAGTCAGCTTGTCACCGGCAAGCCATTGTCGCGTTATTGACAAAAACTTTCCTATTTAAAATATAAAGAAAATAACAAGATTAATTTTTTAGTTAAAAAAAACATGTATAAAATTTAGTTTCCTGGTTGTGATGTGTATATGATGTTACTCATTTTAGCAGTTAGCAATAAATGGTCCAATGTCGATTGAACAGAGATCCAGACCTGGAGCCGGCAAAGATAAAACTTCAGCATTTAATACCGCTTTGGCACCGTCTAAATGAGTCCAAGACGGTATTCGAAAGTTTAAAGTAGATGAAGTACTCTGCAAAACAAATACTTGACAAGTGAGTACAGACAACCAGTATAAGTAACTTTTTACATGCAGCAGACTTACGAAAGGACATAAAGACAACTATAACATCAATCCTAAAGTAACTTTCATAGACAAACCAAACCAAATTACGAAAAGTACATGCAGCATTTACTCTAAAAAGTGTCTAAGATGAATATTTGACTCATTTACCTCAGCAGGAGAAAAAATAAAGGAGACTCGTAAATAAGGATCCCATGACACAGCTGGAACAACAGTTTGACTGATCAAAATTTTTCCAGATTTCCAATCAAATGAACTTGATATGTACTGAATGATGTAAAGAGTAGGATTTTTCCCTTCCTCTTCAAAATAGATAGAATCCCCCAGCTTTGAAAATGATTCAATTCCTAATGAACAAGAAAAAGGATAAGAGTATATAAATGTGGTACTGTTTAATGCATATTCGGATAATAAATAAAATCAAGAAATGCACACCGGTTCCATAACAGCACCAGAAAGAGTCAAACGGAGTTCCCCAACTATGTCCAGTTTTAGCCTTGGAAAACCCAACACCTTGTGGAAGCATATAAATCATCACTCCAGGATCAGTTCCTCTTTGAATGCTGAGTACACCATTGGTTAAGGCACGCTCATAATAATCTGCATAAGAGATTTCTTTCGTCCATCTAAAGAGGTGGCGTGAAACCTGAAATCTTTTTATTTTAGTGCTAAGATAATGGAAACTAACACAACGACATATACAAGCATATAAAGACAGAAATAAATGAATATATGCTAATGAATTATAATATGAAAATAAATTTTCTCTCTTCTCGCAATTAATAAATGAGTTATTTAAACTTTTCAAATAAACATTTTTAACAAGCTAATAAAATGAACAATTGGTTGTACCTTCAACATATTATAAGTTGTGCATGACTCCTCAGTCTCTGTTGTTCGTATGTTGTCTGCTATTCTCTTTGGATCTCTCCTGCACAAAAATTGAAAAAAAGGAACTGACTATGAACTAATAAAGGAAAAACATTTCTAAACAAATATTCAATGGATAATCTCATATGCATACTGAAATGAAATTTAAAAAAGCTGACATCTTAATACCAGAATTCATGGACAGATGTCCCTCCAGTTGCATAGCTGTGAGAAGAGTTTACAAGAGCCATAAAGAATGTCCCAATTTCCTACAACACCAACAAACAAGTTGAAATAAGAAAGTTTTGAGTGCAGGCAATTAACTACAAACTAGATGATCAGAACATAAATGAACTCTTTTAAATTGTGTAAAATTCAAAACTAAGTAAATAATATCACATCAATAAATAGTAAATATACACATTTCCATTCAAACTTTATATATATATATATATAATCTGAGTGAAGCAATTCACCTTATAAAGTGGATCGCCTATTATTTCATAACGCTCTTGAGATCCAACAAGAATCGGGATATGCGTATTAGAGTGAAGATCAGCTATATCGTTAGCCTGCATCAAATAAGAATATTTTCAAATTAACTTCTACTGTTACACTAACTTGCCACCCTAAGACAATATAGATAAAATAGAAATTCTACCTGTACTGCCAGCAAACCTAGAAAGCATGGCTTGTCAAAAAGGTGAGCCAACACTAGATGCTTAGAATCTCCCTGAAAAGAAAAACATGACAGTTCTATGTCAGAATTGAAGTTTAAAGCAATATTAAGCCAATTCTTACTCTCAGCTATGAATTAAACTCTCTGTAATTGATGCCTATACTTAAATCAACAAAGTCTATAATATATTATTACAAACAAAGCAGCAATAGAGTTAACCTACCGTTATCCTGTATAATTTGTAGAGGACATCATTCATTCCTCCAGTTTCCTCATTCAGTGATTCATAATGTCTATTTATAGTGAACCTTGCTATGACATTCATCACTCTGTTGTAGAAGTAATCAACCATCCATGTTACCATTTTTAGAGCTTGAGGGTTTCCCGCAAACGTATGTTGATCCAAGAGGCCGGCCAAGATCTGTCAAAATTGAATAGTTGATATCCAAGCACTTGCATAATCAAAATATACTTTTGATACTTTTGATTGTACCTTGTGAATGGTGTAATAAGGAGCCCACACAGGTTGAATAGCTTCAAATCGATCAAAAAACTCCGATGGAAATGCAGATAGATATCCACTTCCAATTTTCTCTTGACAAGCAGACATACCAGTAACAACAGCTGACATTCTCTGCCTCAGGATATCATTCTGTGTGCTTGCCCACATTAGAGCGGATGCGCTTAAGTAATGCCCTTCACAGGATAAAAAAACAATTATAATTAGCCTTAAGAAAATAATTCGAGAGGCTTAAAGTTAGTAATGTGCTTGCTAGATGCAAGACCACCAACAAACATGCATTAGGGTGTCATTGTGTGTTACAAAAGCCTTTCAACAAAAAACAATACAACCAGTATTTGAAATACATGGATCAGACATCCTTTCAGAAAAAAACTTAGATATAGAATGATAAGCTTTAGTAAATGCCTGAAATTTTTTTTATAACTGCAATCCTTATTCAAACAATTAGTTGAATGAATAAAGAAAACCAAAACATAACGTGGAAAAAGCAAAACAGAAGAAAAGAAGATTATGCAGTTAAGCCCTTGAAAGGTTACAAAATTATTATGATTTTATTGCATGTTAAAGAAAAACAGAATAACAATTAAAATGATTAATGAAATAAACTAACCAACAAAATGACCTCTGAGCTCAACTTCTGGACCTTCCCACCCTCCATAAGGAGTTCCAGGAGTGGGTAGACCAGCTGTCTTTCGGAAGCTCCAAAGCAACCTGTCCACATCCAACATCAATAGATAATCCAAATTTGTCTGCTGTGCCCGGGCATGTATTGAATCCTCGTTCAATCTCACATCTTGAAGAGGCACTTCTTTGAGTAATCCTTCAGGTGAGTTGAAGACACCCACGTTCTTAATTTTCTTATACATCACTGCCCAGTCATATTGGTTTTGTTCTGTCAAGAGTTTCCTTGGCAGCAAGTCAGCCCAAGCGGAATCATCCGTTGGTGTCAAATGGTAGTGAGACATCACCTCTGCCTTCCACGTTTCATTCTTGGACGTCAATAGCTCAAATCTGAACGTGTGTGATTGTGTAGGAATGTTTGTGCACTCCTTGAGAGCAGTACAACCGCACAACATAAGGGCCACGAACAAAGACACTAGAGCCTCCATCTTCCTAGAAAAATTGCAAGTCAAAAGATTAAGAATCTCAAAACAAACAAATACAAGCCTCAAACATTACTCAACAGACAACTCCAATTCACACGTGGCTGCTACAATTACCGAGTAGACTTAGAACGTCGCAAAAAAACCAGCATCAAACACTACGGGACACACAGATTTATAATCTTAAGCCAGTTAAACTTAATTGATGATAGAGACACCAGATATCAATATATATAGAGATCTCAATTAAAGGTTACAACATTAATAATACAATGGAAATGTATTAACATTCATATTTACCCAGGGATACAGCATTACAGCTCAGAAAAATCTCAATAATAAATGGCAGAACATAATGTTAAAGTAAAAAACACAATAACAAAGTTACTTTGTATAAATCATGTAGAGAAATGAGTTTGAGGATAAGAAACAAAGTGGTATGAGAAGAGAGCCGAACAATAGAATAGAAAGAGAAGGGAACAGTTGCTCGCATACATGTGAATATCCATGTGAAGGGAATATATATAGACACTCCCGCTAGGAAACAAAGGAGTTGCAGCAAGTAAGTCACGATTAACTCATCCCGTGAAATGGATAGGTATGGATACGGAAACAGGGGAAAAGAGTAAAACACTAACCGGAATTATAGGAGAGTAGAAGAGGCCCTCTTCGTTGTAACTGCCCACTCACTCCAAAATGTGGAATTTTCCGGTGTCCCTGGATAACAGAGTTAAAAAATACTTTAAATTATTAAATTTATCTTACAAAATTATTTTAATTCCTGATCCCGGATACTCTATAAGTTAATCATTCTTAATTAAAAGTGCTTTTTTTAATTTTTTGATGCATTTGACTCGTATTTTTTTAATTAAAATTTGATATTTTATTTTTTAAAAGTTATATAAAATTATAATAAATATTTATAAAAATGAACGGCTCATTTAGTTTTTATAACAAACTATGTTAATTTAATTTGAAAATATTTAATAATAAATAATACTAATATAAAATGTTATACTTAACATATTTTAAATAAATAAATTATATCAATTGATATATGCCAGAGTAAAGCAATTTAATTGAAGTATACCACTGTATCTACGTAAAATATAAATTATATTAAGAATTTCTATTATCTTTTTATTAAATTGTACCTAGTAAAATTTAATTTTATATGACATGAAGTATAATTTTATCTATCTAGACAGATTATGCGTTACATCCTAGGTGAAGCTGAATAATATAAAATTATAAATAAAAATATATCTTATTTCTATTTTTTTCAAACTCTGAACATAAATATACAATATACAGAGGATCGCGAACAAAATGTCTGAAATCAGTTGTAACATTCTGAAATCTAGCAAAATATAAATATTACTTAAAATGAGTTACACGAAATCTTTACCTAAGAATTTATTCAATATTAATATTAATATAATAAAAATATAACATATCACTGCTTTATATAAATTTGCAAAAAATGTTAAAATAATTTAATATAAATAAAAAGTTATATTTTACTATTTTATTGCATTTTTATTAACTTTTAGATGCTAGTTTTTTACACTAAATTATTTAAATTAAACAGTTTAAAATATTAAATATAATATTAAAATTATACATAACTGAAAAATTACCGGATCTTTAATTATTATTCACTTAAGCATAGGCTATAATATAAACTTATCTCTATATATAGTTTATTGTTAGTAGTAAATAAATATATGTGCAAAGTAAACTATAGTTATAATGGTAAATTATTACAAATACGTAAATAAATTTTAATTAATTAATGATTTATTTTTAATGCATTTTTTTATATTGCATGACTATATTTTGTTATTAATTATTCTTACGTTCAAAAGTGTTGATAAATGAACTTTAAAAGACACATACAAATTAGAGAACGCAAAATTGTTACAAAAGTTTATAAATTATTTAAAAATAATTACTTCCTAAATAATTGTGTAAAATTTAATTAATTTCAAAAAAATTTATCTTACTTTAAAAATAAAAATAATATGTATTTATTATTATTATTATTTAAATACAACTTTATAAATTTATTTAAGATGACTTTTATTATTTCAATTTTATATTAAATAAATAATAAAAAATTATAATTTTTATATGTGTATATATATAATTATCATTTTTTTACATGAACTGTTAAATTAAAACATTTATATTATCAATAAATTTAAATAAAATATAAATTTAATTAGTTTAATAATTAATTTAAATGTTTATATATTGACTTTATAAAATTTTATATAAATAATAAATAAATAAATATTTTATTTTATTTTAATATATAATAAATATTTAAAATTTTAAACAACATTCATGTAAATGTCTAAATAAAAATTTTAATATATATAATCATAAAAAATTATATAAGTATTTTAATAATTGAATTGAATAAATTATCATATATTTATTAATTTAAATAAGTATGCAAGTTTGACAAGTGTTAACAATATTAACTTTTATACAGAAAGAATTTTTGCAGAATATAATTTTAAAAATTTTTACATTAAATTTAAACTTTTCATTTAACTTACATCTAACGGTTTATAAAGTAAAAAATTATAACTTAAAATTAAATAAAAGTTAAGAATTTTTAAACTTATACTAGTATGCAAGAAAAATTCATTGATATATATATATATATATATATATATATATATATAATTTAATAAAAAAGGAGTTTTAAAAATTTTTTATATAAAAATTGAAGAAATTATATTTGAGTAAAAAATTAGTTCAAAACAAATACTTTAGAGTAAAAAAATGATTTGAACAAATTATTTCAAAGTTAAAGGAAAATAATCCAAATTAATACAGAAAATGAAACATTTTGAAAGTATTATTTCATAGTACAAATAAAAACTAATGAAAAATATTTTAAAATAAAAGGATTTTTGAAATTTTTTTTAAAAGGAAATAATTATTTTTAAATAAAATGAATTATTAAACATGTATTTTCAAAATAAAAATATATTTAAAATAAAATTGACTCCCATTCTTAAAAGTGTTCTGAAAAAATAGATAATTTCTCTGTACGTGCTGCTGAAAATCAATTTATTAAGTCAAATGTAAGATATAATTATATTTAATCAAATAAGAGAGATACTAACATAAGAATATTTTAAATTTTTATTATTATATATAACTTTTGAATTCATTTTAATATTCAGAGATTAAGGGATATAAGTGATTTTATTATTTAATTAATATTAAATGTAAATAGACTCATTGTCATTAAAGCTATTCGTTATTTTGAATAAAAAAAAGTGTAATTATGATTTATTGATGTCATAATATGCATATTTTTATAAATAAAACTAACCTAATAGACACTTTATTTATTTTTATTTAAATTACAGAATATAATTTTTTTAATTTAATTTTGATATTATTTTAGCAATAAATTTGTAAAATTTATTTAAATTGAATATAAATAAAACACTGATTGATTCCTAACAAATACAAAAATTAAGCACTTAAAATAAAATAAAATTGATAAATATCTCTTTGTTATAATTTAGAGAGCTAAATAGTTAATTTATTTTCTTATGGACCTGTCTCACTATATATGTTTTTAAAGATTTTGAAATTAAAAAATAATTATCTTTCTGTTAAAAATATTTATATTTTTAATCATTATATTATAGTTAACATGTATTTTTTTATTTTAATTATTTATGTTTAATTTTAACATTTATTATTATAAAAAAGTTAGTTATTTACTCCCATGTTATATAAAAATTTATAATTTTAATGTTATATAAATGTTTGTTGGTTATTAATTTTAATATACATATTAAAAATTTATTTATATTTATAATTTTTTTCTTCAAATATTTTATATATTTTTATTTTCCAATCAATAACATATAAATTAGTATTACGTTGTATCTTAATTATATTTTTATTAAATATTAAATAGTAAAGGAGTAAGACATTTATTTCAAACATTTAACATATTATGACGACTATTTAGAGAATAATTGAAATTAAAAAACATAAAAATTGTACATGCTACTTGAAACTGCAATAAAAAACAATACAGGTTAAAAATACATCTAAAATAAAAATATAAAAATTATAAATGCTCCTGAATTTTGACTTACAAAACTATCACTTGATGTATTAAATCAATTTTAAGAAAATAAAAAAATTAATATATATTGGTGTATAAAAAAATAGTTAGTCTAGACAGAAGGTTGGAGGTGGTGGTTGTGCAAGATTGAGACTAAATTAAATGATGACATGACATTTGTGTAATAATATAGTTTTTATAAATCAACATAGCTATTGGATAATTAAATGTTTGGTGAATGATAATTACGTTTATCTTTTAAAAATTTTAATATTCAAACTAAACTATTTGCAACAGATAGTCTAAAACTTGTATTTAAAAGTAGAGTTGAAAAGAATTTTCGTATAAAAAAGTTTCAAATAAGATGATTTATCAGTTTTTGAATTAACTTTTTATACAGAAGTGTTAAATAACATAATTTATCAACTAATTAACTTTGCAAAATGACATAATTAAATATTCTATAAGATAAAACACATTAAAAATTAATATTTATTTTTACAATAAAATTTAATGTTTTTAAATGACTTATGATGACATGTTAACATGATAAAAAATTCTAAAAAATTAAAATAAATAAATTTTGTTAATAAAGACATCACCTCAACTCACATGATTTATCCTCCTACAACTAGTAATTGTTTTCTATATCACATAAATATTATTAAATTAAACTAAAATTTATTAATGATTAAATAAAAATATTGTGAGATTATTTTTTAGAAATAATAATTATAATTTTGAATATTTAAATATTATTATTTTTACTAATGAATAATTTATTTATTAGAAAAGATAATATAGTATATATAAAAAAATTAAATTTAAATTAATGTTAACGGAAAAACATAAAAGTTTAATGTAAAAATTACATATACAATTAAAAGAAAAAATCTAAAAGCACTTTTATTTTAAAAACTTATAAAATAGTATTTTTTTAAGAATTAATATTCATAAATTATTAATAGAGATTGAAAAATTTTATAATAATTATAATAAGAATTTTATTAAATTAAAAATATATAAATTTGAACTACAAAATAAATTATAGAGAATAAAATAGATTTAATATTAAATAGAATACAAAAAGAAATCTTAATAAATCTGTGTTAAAAAAATCAGAAAAATTTTCATTGAAAAATTACTACTAAAAATATATACAAAAGTTAATGCTATGTTGTCTTTGAATTGCTTTAATTAATTAAATTTAAAATAATAATTAAACAATGTATAACGTCTAAAATAACTATGAATTTACACATTATAATTTATATATATATTCACGTTACTTTTTTTCTAAAATCTTAATCTATTTTTTTTAAAAAAAGTTAAAATTCTTTTACACTTAAATCTAGACAGCAATACAATGAATACACTGTTTTTCCATTTAGTCATGTGTTAGTACATAAAAGTACGAAGTAGTAACCCTGCGTAGCTTTTTATAATAAATAATGCTTACATCGCTATTAAAAGGAACCGTATTAATAATAGTTAATATAAGATCGCTATTAAAAGGAAACATATTAACAATAGTTAATATAAGAAAAACGTATAAATTTTCAATGTGTTATATTTCATATAGCTT